GATATAGTCCTTATGGCAGAATCGCTGGAGGGCCTAAGCACTATGCTCAATGACCTCAATAGTATTTCCCAACAGATAGGTCTTAAGATGAACATGGACAAAACAAAGATCATGTTTAATGTCCATGTCACACCTATGCCGGTAGTTGTTGGGAGCACTAAGCTCGAAGTTGTTGACGAATATGTTTACCTGGGACAAATAGTCCGACTAGGTAAGTCCAACTTCGACCGAGAGGTCAATCGACGGATTCAACTCGGCTGGGCAGCGTTCGGGAAGCTACGACACATCTTCTCGTCAGACATACCTCAAAACCTTAAAACGAAATTGTACAACCAGTGCATGTTGCCAGTGATGACTTACGGAACTGAGACGTGGTCCTTCACTGCTGGCCGTATGAGGAAGCTCAAGGTCGCTCAGCGAGCTATGGAGAGGGCTATGCTCGGAGTTTCTTTGCGTGATAAAGTTAGGAATGAGGATATCCGCAGTAGAACCAGAATAACCGACATAGCCCAACGAATTAGTAAGCTGAAGTGGTAGTGAGCCGGCCATATAGCTCGAAGAACCGACAACCGATGGGGAAGAAAGGTTCTCGAGTGGCAGCCTCGTACCGGTAGGCGAAGTGTAGGGCGTCCCCCCACGAGATGGAGTGACGACCTGGTAAGACATGCAGGAAGTCGATGGATGCAGGTGGCTCAGGACCGTGCTCTGTGGCATTCTTTGGGGGAGGCCTATGTTCAGCAGTGGACTTGTGAAGGGCTGTAATGATGATGATGATGATGATTAATAGTACCTATAGTTGTAACACAAATGGATCGGTTTGACCGGGGAAGGACCACACTCTCACAGAATACTAGAGTAAAATAGCAGCTTAATGCTGCTGTGTTTTGCATGGTGAGTGTAGAGAACCGGAGACCCCCTTTTTCTTAAAACGAGGCATTCCAATTTAGCCATCAGATGTGACAACGCTAATCTACGTTTTGATTAAACGAGGCTAGATGTACGAGTAGATGTCTATAGGTAGAGCTGTCATCTCTAAAACCTGCCCCCCAGGACCGGAAGCGTAAGTTCCCCGGATTTTGGAGCTTTCACCCCGGACATTTCAATAATTTTTTCATTCACTTATGTACATCTTCGTTAAAATATATTTTATTTTATTGATAGAAGAAAACTTTAATTTTTAGCCTTTTTTGTTGCATGAAATAGTGAAATGTATTTACTCGTTATCGTTCTTGTGACGACAAGTGAGTCTGTAATTTTGCTTTATTTTCTAACCTTCTTTGGTATTAAATAAAAGATAAACAAACCCAATATTAGTTACTCAGTTAATGAAATTAAATGAAAACTTGTTTATCTTTTTATTTTTCCATACAATTAACAATATTTACTCTAGTTTTAAAAGAAATTAAATCTTAAATCAAATACAGAAAGTTATAATAACTTATACTAAGGAACAAGTCATTTAGTAGTACATTTAAATAAATAAGGAATAGAAAATATCTATATTTCTTAGAATTTTAATAAAATTCTTCATAATATATTAAATTGCAGGAATCACTCACTGATTCATCAAAGCCCAACCCCAAACCCTTACACCTAGCATTGTTTAAGCAGAAACATTGCGACACTACCATCAATATATTTTTATTAACATAATGTTACGTTCGTCAGAATCTACATCAATTTATCACAAACAGTCACCTGCATGACTTTACTCTTAATACTAGAAATAATAACAAACTAGCATTACATATGTATCTAAATGTAGATTGGCTACGATTATATGACAAAACTATATGAAAGGATCAGTTAAAAAGAAATAAGTAAAATTGCACAATCAGTTTTTAAAAGAACAAACCTCGAGTTTCTTGTCTGTTCTTCACTGCACCTTTGTGAACATACATAGTGTTAAAAAACAAAATGTTAATGACTTAATAACAATTGCTGTGTAATGAAATTAAAATTTATGAATGAATAATTTTAACTTTGACTTTAGAAAGTTGAAATTCGGCGCAGAAGTTCTTTCTATAACGTAAGCAGGGAATAAGAAAGGTTTTTAAGAAATTTCCACGGGAACGAAGTCCCGGGCATCACCTAGTCTAGGCGGAAGATAGGAAATAGTCTAGGAAATACCTAACAAATAGCTTTTATTTACATAAATTATGGGATCGGAATCAAAAATCAAACAATTTTAAACCCGCCCGGACGCTCCCCGGAGGTCTTTGAAACTAGGACAAATCCGGGGAAACCCGGACTACTGCACCAACTTGTCATCAGGTGGACTGTGTGCCCGTTTGTCGACCTTACTCTAAAAAAGTAATAATATAAATTAGAAAATGTTTGTGTTGATGCTGTCTTAAGTTCAAAGGTTCATTCGAACATTTGTACATACATACAATTTTTTTTTATAGGATAGAGTGACAAACGAGCACACAGTCCACCTGATGGTAAGTGGTAGCTGTGGCCCATAGACATCTACATCTATCCTCGTTTGCGAATCAAAATGCAGATGCGTTGTCACCCGTGAGGACTAAGGTGGAATGCCTCTTTTCCAGTAAAAAGGGCCTCCGGTCACCTGTACTCACTGAGCGAAACGCAGAGGTAAACCTCTACTTCACGCTGGTATTCTGTGAGGTCGTGGTACCACCCCGGTTTGAGCCGGCCCATCCGTGCGACAGCAAAAGCTGTCGCGTGGCTCTACCACTGTCAAAAAATTTATACAATACATACAATTCACGACCAAGACCTTAGGAATAACAGATGATACTGGTTTCCATTTGGAACGACTCTCTCACACCTCTGTTACTTCTCACATATTTATTATATTAACAACTTATACAAATGTTAATATTAAAATATTAGGTTGGTTGGTTGCTTGCTAGGTATTAACTAATATTCTAGAATAGAATGATTTTTATTCAATATAGATTATTACATAATACTTATTGAAAGTAATTTTTTTATTTACCACTGGTTCGGAAAATACCTCTGTCTTAGTAGAACCAGCATGGTGGCAATCATCTCATTCCCATGTTTTTTTTTATTTTCATTTATATATTCTTTGATATTATAATAAATATTTTTGTACAATTTTCTTTAATAAAACATTTAAACTTGTTTATTGACAAATTTTGTATATTTTCTGGGATTTTGTTGTAAAAGCGTATACATTGCCCCATAAATGAATTACTAATTCTGTGGAGTCTAGTAAATGGTATTACAAGCCTATGTTTGTTCCTAGTGTTTAAAGTGTGAACATCTTTATTCTTATCAAAACTATTTATGTTTTTATGTACATACATTAATTACATTTTCACAAATATATTGCGATGCCAAAGTTAATAATATGTTTATTTCTTTAAAATTTTCTCTAAAGGACTCATTACAGTTTAATTTATATATCGCCCGTACGGCGATCTCGACTTTGCAAAACAAATATGGCTTCGATGTCAGTCGCATTATCCCATAGCAAAATTCCATAAGACATCACGCTATGAAAATAACTAGAATTAACTAATCTAGCTGTTTCAAAAATGGTGAGACTTCTAATCTTTCTTACAGCATAAGCTGTTGAACCAAGTCTGCTTGATTATTTAAATATATGGGAACCCATTGGAGCTTCGCGTCAATAGTAATACCAAGAAAACAGTGGTATCTGCAAGACTCAACTCTTCCCCATTCAAGAGCACTTTTTTACGTGGTAGAGCCATGCCGCAGCTATATTTGTAGTATAGTTTGTACCACGAACGGGTCGGCTCGACTGGGAAAGGACCACGCTCTCACAGAATACCAGCGTAAAATAGCAGCATAACATTGCTGTTTCGTATGGTGAGTGTAGAGAACCGGAGACCCTTTTTACTGGAAAAGAGACATTGCATCTTAGTCCTCACGGGTGAGAGCGCATCAGCATTTTGATTCTTTATTGAGGATAGATGTAGATGTCTATGGGTCGCAGCAACCACTTACCATCAGGTGGACTGTGTGCTCGTTTGTCACCCTATCCTATAAAAAAAAGGTATTGTAAATTTAATACATATTGTCTTATTACCGTTTAAGTGCAAATTGTTGGCGTTAAACCAATGTACTAATTTCGATACAGCATTATTTACATTGTCAAAATTAATTGACTGTCGTTTCAGTTTGAAAATTAAAGAGGTAAGATGCAAATAATACTATATCGTGATTGTCCCCTACAAGATAAGGTAAATTATTAATATAGACTAAAAACAAGAATGGGCCGAGAATAGAGCCCTGAGGAACACCCATTGATACTACTGATCCGGAGGAATGTTTTTGATAACGACTTTTTGAGTTCTGTTATTTAAATATGAAATAATAAGTCAAAGTGCAATATTTTTACATTTCATTTGTCATTAACTTATTCCCCTAATGTTGTGTTACGTAATACTCGTATTTCGATATTGATATTATAATATTACTTGAGGAATATATTAAAATAAGATAATATTGACAAATATCGGTATCAATCCATCTGTTATTCATGCGCCCCATATTTATTTAATGACGACGCTGCCGACCTTATCAAGCGCAATTATGATAAATCGAATGAGAATGTATTTTTCGCATTTTTCGAAATACGACGACTAATTTAGAAGTTCCGGGTTAGGAACGGACTTGCATACACATACATATTAATATATATATATAAAATTGTCCTCCTTTTAGGAATTTTAAGTTCCGCAGTCTGATAAATAATATTTCTAATTTAATTTAAAATTGTATTATTTTATTGTTAGTTACACACGATGAACGAAACTTGTAGGATCGGGTTTTTAGTTTTTACACACTTGCGTGCCATGTTCGTAGCATGTATTTCCAATATCAATATTACGTCATCGTAAGGTTAAAGTTCGACAAAATATGTTTTCCTTGCGTATTCCACAGATTCAATTTATTAAGGAAATTAGATCAATCTCTCTTTTGTGTTTCTATAATGAATGTGTAATTAAATTAGTTACTGAAGCGGTAATGGTAGATTGAATATGTTGGAAAAAATATTTTGTTTAGTGTTCTTAGGTAAGTTGTAGTATAGATATATATACCTATTTTAATTATATATCTCATGATAATATATAGAACGAAGAGTGTATGCAATTCACAGAGTAAATGGGGCTCTTTGCTATATTGTTGGAGTTCAGAATGTGTCAAAAAAGGTACGTATGGTATTTTACAATGAAATGAAATGAAATGAAATTTATTTAACATACATAACATTATAGTTACTGTTATTTTTGAGCTCTGAAGCCTGCGTTAGTTAAACTGTGCTACAGGCCTTAATACTGTGTTAGTTTCCTTAACATATAGTAGTGAACGCATGGAAATACATGTACTTCGTAGGTGTGACAGAAAGTCATGAGATAATGCTGTAGAAAGATGCGGTCACTAAGATGTATGTAAGGGATGACTCTGAATGATAGGATGAGAAATTGTGTGGTAAGAGAAAAGTGTGCTTTACAAGAAGATGTTGTGAAATGATGCGGTGGTTTGGACATGTAGAAATAATGACTGAGGAAATAGTGACGAAGCAGTGGGATGAGTACCGAGCATGCGTATGTAGATAGACGTGTAAGAAGTGATAGTGTTCCGACATGATAGTGTCAAATGGAAGTCAATATCCTCTGCCTAACTCTAAGGTCGTGAAACTGTATGTACAAACTTCATGAATGGACGAATGAATCTCTGAATTTAAGACAGTTTCAAAACACATATTTTATAAGTTATATTTTTATTAATAACTTGTCTAAAAGCCTCGGAGATTTTTCTCGGATAAAGCATATTATTAGAATAGCTTAAACATAGTTACTTGAATATAACCTATGTAGATAAAAAGGTATGTCTATATAGTATAAAACAAAGTCGCTTCCAACAGTCTGTACGCTTAGATCTTTTAAACTACACAACGGTTTATCATGCGGATTTCATCAATAGACAGAATGATTCAAGAGGAAATTTATATGTTTTTGTTTTTTATAGGATAGGGTGACAAACGAGCATACAGTCCACCTGATGGTAAGTGGCCACTGCGACCCATAGACATCTACATCTATCCTCAATAAAGACTCATGATGCAGATGCGTTGTCACCCGTGAGGACTAAGATGGAATGCCTCTTTGCCAGTAAAAAGGGTCTCCGGTTATCTAAACTCACCATACGAAACACAGCAGCGTTAACCTGCTATTTTACGCTAGTTTTCTGTGAGAGCGTGGTCCTTCCCTGGTGGAGCCGACTCATTCGTGCTACAACTATACCACTAATATAGCTGCAGCATGGCTCTACCACTTATAAAAACACATATAACTAGCAGCACAAAGAAGTTGGCTTGGAAGTATGACCGCTCAGATTAATCAATAGGTGCACATAATTGCTCACTAAATGCTCAATTCAAATCTGCAATTGCTCACATTATTAATTTATTATTTAATTAGTTATTAATAATTTAAAATACAAAATTGTTTTTGCCTATTATACTTAAAATCAAATTTTTTTTATAAATGAATAATTGCTCACGAAATGCGCAATTGCTGACACTATTAATTAATTATTAAATTAGTTATTAATAATTTAAAATACAAAATTGTTTTTGCCTAAACCGCTCAGATTAATAAATAAGTGTTATAAATTTCTCACTAAATGCTTAATTAAAATCCGTAATTGCTCACACTATTTATTAATTATTTTATTAGTTATTAATAATTTAAAATACAAAATTGTTTTTTCCTAAACTGCTCAGATTAATGAATGAGTGCTCATAATTGCTCACTAAATGCTCAATTCAAATCTGCAATGGCTCACAGTATTAATTAATTATTTAATTAGTTATTAATAATTTAAAATACAAAATCTTTTTTGCCTGAACCGCTCAGATTAATGAATAAGTGCTATAAACTGCTTACTAAATGCTCAATTCAAACCTGCAATTGCTCACATTATTAATTAATTACTTATTTAGTTATTAATAATTAAAAGTACAGAATAGTTTTTGCCTATTATAATTAAAAACAATAAACTTTTTTTTAAATGAATAACTGCTCATAATTGCTCACAAAATGCTCAATTTAAATCCGTAATTGCTCACACTATTAATTAAATATTTTATTAGTTATTAATAATTTAAAATACAAAATTGTGTTTTCCTAAACCGCTCAGTTTAATAAATGAGTGCTCATAATTGCTCACTAAATGCTCAATTCAAATCTGCATTGCTCACATTATTAATTTATTATTTAACTAGTTATTAATAAATTAAAATACAAAATTGTTTTTGCCTATCATACTTAAAATCAATAAACCTTTGTTTAAATGATTAAGTTCTTGTAAATGCTCACAAAATGCTCAATTTAAATCCGCAATTGATCACACTATTAATTAATTATTTAATTAGTTATTAATAATTAAAATACAAAATTAATTTTGCCTAAACCGCTCAGATTAATGAATAAGTGCTATAAATTGCTCACTATATGCTCAATTCAAACCCGCAATTGCTCACATTATTAATTAATTACTCAATTAGTTGTTACTAATTAAATGTACAGAATTGTTTTTGCCTATTATAATTAAAACCAAGAAAAATTTTTTTTAAATGAATAACTGCTCGTAATTGTTCACGAAATGCTCAATTTAAATCCGCAATTACTCACACTATTATTTAATTATTTATTAATAATTTTTCTGAACCGATCAGACTAATGAATATGCGCTCATAATTGTTCACTTAATGCTCAATTCAAATCTGCAATTGCTCACACTATTTATTTATTATTAAATTAGTTATTAATAATTTATCATACAAAATTGATTTTGCCTAAACCGCTCAGATTAATGAATAAGGGCTATAAATTGCTCACTAAATGTTCAATTTAAATCTGCAATTGCTCACATTATTAATTAATTAATTAATTTGTTATTTATAATTTAAAATACAAAATTGTGTCAGCCTAAGCCGCTCAGATTAATGAATAATTGCTCATAGTCGCTCAATTCTCAATATACTCAATTCAAGTCCGCAATTGCTCACATAATTTATTAATTATTTAATTAGTTATTAATCATTAAACGTACAAAATTGTTTTTTCCTAAACTGCTTAGATTAATGAACAAGTGCTCATTATTGCTCACAAAATGCTCAATTTGAATCCGCAATTTCTCACACTATTATCTAATTATTTAATTAGTAATTAATAATTTAATTTACAAAATTATTTTCGCCTATTGTATGTAAAGTATTGGACTATCTTAATTTTTTTATATAAATTGCTCTATTCTGTATTTCTTAAAATTAATTTTTGTAACATTACTTAAATCTTTCGCATAATAATAATTGTAATTTACATGCTGTATTCCTATATGTTATGGTTGTTGTCACTAGACTTTCATTAAGTGAAGGCCGTAATAAATGTATTTTCAGATATTTTATTTTTCCAATTACGTGTTCTATTAATTTTGAAATGAAATGAAATTTAGTTTGCGATAAATAACATACTTACGATATGATTCAGTATTGCGAAATCTTTATAATAATTTGTTGATTTATGTTTTCAAAAATTATAGCCAGAATATTCTTATTTATTGTATACATTTACTACGACGTATTTTTAAGGTTGACGTTGATTGAATTAATATAAATACATTTAATCATTTATACATTATTCAAGAATCAATCATAAGCTGTTTCCTTTAAACAATTGATGTCAATGTATATAAATGATAAGTATATTTATAATTTGAAACATGAAATAAATACAAAAAGGATTTTTTTTATAGGAGAGGGGGCAAACGAACATGCGGAGCAATTATGCGCACTTATTCATTAATCTGAGCGGTTTAGGAAAATATAATTTAGAATTTTAAATTATTAATAATTAATTAAATAATTAATGAATAGTGTGAGCATGTTTAACATCAAAATTAAATCAGCTGATAGCAAGTGTCGCAAGAATGTTATTGCTATTTGTTTTTAATACGAACATTAAAACATTTTATTTATATTAAAACATCTTATATCGACAGTTATTCTTTGAAATTTTTATTAAATAAACTTTGATGATCTTTTTCTTAAAAAAATCCTTCATATTTTATT